GACGGCACCGAGTACATGCCGGGGTTGGTGGGGCTCAACAACATGAAGGTGAGCAGCCGGGTGGGAGGGGGGGCTGCGCTCAGTGGCGGGTGGGGGGAGGGGGCAGTGGCGGCGGTGCTGGAGGTGGTAGAGCGGTTGACTGAACACGAAGTGGTCCTAATGGCTTCTTATGCCTTGTGGTTTTGGCTTTCTCTGGCGGTATTGGGGGTGGCTGGGGACTTCAGGGGCCATCAGCCACTATCAGTTAACGAGCCACCCGCGCGCACCGCTTTGCTTGGCATTTGGGTAACGTCAGCTGCGGACATGTGCGGATCCGCAAGAGCAGGTTATTGGAAATGCTCCCCAGTCCCCAGGTCAGTAAAGTAGGTGGTCCTCTCCCCATCGCCCTTGCCGTACCCTGTCGTACGCCCCTTGCCGTACCTAGTCCTAAGTACATGAAAACTACTCCGCTCCGATTGTCCTTCCAGAACAACGACTACATCAACGTCATCATGCAGATCTGCGCCCGCATCACTCCGCTCAGGTTGGGGTGGAGGGGACCAGGCGTGCGTTGGTGGGGGAAAGGGGGGAGAGGGGGACTTCTTGTGCCCGCACAGGAAGTCGGGGAACTAACTGGTGGTTTCCAAGGACAGTGGCGGCACCAGGCACCCAGGAGGGTGGGGGAGGGGTTGGGATGGCTGGGGAAGGGGAGGGGGAGGAGAGCCCCGTGTTGAGAAGCATGTGGGACGCGTCGCGGGGGCGGAGAGAGGACCTCGTGCTGCTCGCTTTTGCAACCCATGCCGAGCCATGATGGTTTGGTTCGGCCCTGAACTCTGCGACCTCCTGGTTTGGGGTTAGTTGACTCTCCTCCCTGCCCCTGCCCCTGCCCCTTCGACAGCCGTACCCACAACGAACTCCAAGTTCCTTCCTGCCTCTTCCCCCCAACCCCACCCCCAACCCCACCCCCCCACCCCCTCAGGGACTTCTTCCTGGACCCCGCGAACTACTCGGACTGCCGCAGCCCCCTGGTGCAGCGGTTTGGAGAGCTGCTGCGGAAGATGTGGAACACCAGGAACTTCAAAGGCCAGGTGTGCGGTACATGCACGTGTACATGGGGAGGGAGGAACGGATCCTGGTGGCGGAAGGTGGTGGGTAGGAGGGCAGTCCTCCACCGGGGGTCCCGTTGTATTCCCGGGCTGTGTGTGGGGAGGTTGGGGCTGGGGAGGGCCTCCAAGGAGCCCAAAGGAACTGGGGCTCGCCCTCCGCTTCTCTCTTTCCATGCGAACATATCTACATACATACGTACATACACGCAGAAAGATAAGCAGTCACCAACGGCTGCTACCCAATGCAGGTCTCCCCGCACGAGTTCGTACAGGCGGTACGGAACGCTTCCAAGAAGCGATTTACGGCCGATACGCAGGTACGTATGACTTGTGTTCCATGCAGCACGTGGGCGTGTCAATGAGTGTGTCTTCTCACCCTCTTGTTGTTTCCCCCTCCCCCCCCTTCCCCTCCCCCCTCCCCCCCCCGGCAGTGCGACCCCGTGGAGCTCTGGTCCTGGCTGCTCAACAATCTGCATCTGGACCTGACGAGGGGCAAGCCCAAGAAGCCGTCCATCATAACGCAGTGCCTGCAGGTGGGGCGGGGCGGGGCGGCAGGGAGGGGCGGTGTCCGGGAGGGTGAGGGGGAGCCGAGAGGGGACCCGGGCCGGGCCGGGAGAGATGGGGGCGCTGGGATTGAGGGTTGAATACGCGAGTGGTGAGGGCGAAGGGCCTCCTGCCCAAACAGCCGACCTGGCACCACGCCGGGGGAGAGAGGGCCGGAGGTGCACCAGTGGTAGACCCACCGATGAATGCTGCTGCTACTGCGACTGCTGCTGCTGCTGCTACTATACTGCAGCTACTGCTATTGCTTTAAAGGAGGTTTTGTCGGCGCGTACAGATCCTAGTTACGTGTTGCTGCCCCTCGACGTCAGTACCCTAAGACCCAACCCTCCCGCTATCTGCCGCGGTCGCCGCAAGCCCTCACACCTCTGCCCCCCCCACCCAACATGCACACACGCAGGGGGAGCTGGAGGTGACCACGCTGGCGGGTACGGGTAGGGGCACCCGGGCGGCCACGAGTGGGGAGGACGTCACCGAGCGAGTGCCCTTCCTTCTGCTGGGACTGGAGCTGCCGCCGGCCCCCCTGTTCAAGGACGTGCTAGAGAAGAACATCATCCCGCAGGTGCTCGAGCGGATAGGACGGGAGGAGGGGGGAGGGGGAGGGGGGAGGGGTTGTTCTCAGGGTAGGTAGGGAGCGAGGCCAATATAGCTGCGGCGAGGGTGAGTATGGAGCGGAGGGCGGGGTAGCTGGTAGCTACTTAAGAGCTGAGAGTGTAGGGGGGAGTGTAGGGGGGAGTTCAGGGGGGAGTTCAGGGGGGAGTGTAGGGTCGGTGTGAAAAGGGAAGGGAGGAATGGGATTGGAGGAGTGAGGGCAATGGAGTGAAGAGGATCAGGATCCACCGGTGTCGTAATTCCCCTTGCACTGCGTTATCCGATATCGTGGGGGGAGGGGGGGAGGTCAGATTACCCTCCGCCTTGTACACCGCCACCTGCTCTGGGGCCCTCGGTCGTCCTGGCTACCACGTCTAAACACGGACACAAAACACCGGCACGCAATGACAACACCCCCCACCCCATCCGCATCACCATCTCCACCAAATCCTTCACAGCCCCTAGTCTCCCTTGGCCAGTTGCCTTTTGCCAAAATTGAATTTGCATCGCTTTCTTTTGCGGTTTTTTATTATTATTATTGTTTTTAATTTCATTTCTCCTGCGGGGCCGCCATCTCCCATCAGGTGCCTATCTTCCACATCATGCGCAAATTTGACGGCGAGACCATCACCGACGACATCCGGGCCGGCCGCCGCCGCTTCCGCATTACCCGCCTGCCTCGCTACCTGGCCCTCCACTACCGCCGGTTTACCAAGAACAACTTCTTCATTGAGAAGAACCCCACCCTGGTCAATTTCCCCGTCAAGTCTCTGGAGCTACGGGACATATTGCCGCTGCCGGAGTTCCCCGCTGCAGCAGGCGGTGCGGCGGCAGGCGCACCGGACGCAGCCGCGTACGGCAGCTCGTCCAAGTACGACCTGGTAGCTAACCTGGTGAGTAGGAGAGGGGAACGTTGGACGGCGTTACAACCCCCTGGTGTACCTGGAGGGGGAGGGAGGGGGAGGGAGGGGAAGGGAGGGGGAGGGAGGGGGGAAAAGAAGGGGAAGGGGGGAAAGAGGGGGGAAAGAGGGGGGGAGGGTTTCAATGCAGTTAGGATTAGGTGGGAGGGGAACAACACCCGGGGTTCAGCCGCTTGCGTGTTGGTTTCCTGATGTGGTCAGCCTTACGGGGCCCCCTGCCTCTCCAGTAAGCCGTGGCCTCATTCCCCTCCCGAGGGGAGCGGCGTCTCACCACGCGCGACCTCCCACCTCCCCGCCTCCTCCGTCTTCTTCCCCAGGTCCATGACGGCAAGGCCGACAGCGGCACCTACCGGGTTCACGTCCACCGCAAAGTAGAGGACATCTGGTACGAGGTGCAGGACCTGGCGGTGCAGGACATCCTACCACAGGTAAGGGGGAGGAGGAGGAGGGCTGAGGCTGGGTGGAGGGAGGGAGGGTTGCGGGTGCCACTCGGGGCTGTTCTGAGCTGCTGAACCCCACCCCACTCCAACCCACCGCACCCCACACCACTCCGGATGGAGCGCTGCGTCGCCTGTGTGCCGGGTCACGGGCTTCATGTTTCTCTTCCTTCCAATGTCCAAGGTTTATTGCGATAGAGCCCCTCTCTGCCCCCAGTGCCTGGCCCCGCGCGGTAGCAACCCCGTGTGCGACCTGGGACTGAAACCCGAATCTTGAATCCGCTGTTCCTTTTGCAGATGGTGGCGCTATCAGAGGCGTACTTTCAAGTCTTCGAACTGAGGCCCGATGCGACCGCCGGCAGTGTGGCGGCCGCGGCGGCTGCAGCGGCGGCGACAGCGGCGGCTGCAGCGGAGGTGGCGATGACCGACGCAGCGGATGGCCAGCAGTGCAACGCAGTGGAGGTGGTGCAGGGGGGGGGGACGGACGGGGAGGGGGGCCCGGGCGCGGCGGATGGGGCTGCTCCCGTTGTGGAGTCAATGGACACTGCGGCCGCCTAGTAACCGTAGCAATAGTGGTGGCGATGATGGGTTGAGGTAGGTAATACAGCATCGGTGCTCGGCAGGGTCGAGCGACCGATGAAGAGGATGACTAGGTGGACAGGTGGATGGATTGATAGACGATAAAGTTTGGTGTGTTTGTGGTGGCGACGTGTGACGCGCAGCGTCGCGGGGACTGAGCTGCCCGCCGATGTAACACATACATACATACTCAGGTTTGAAAGTTCGACATAGTTCTTTTAGAGAAGTGCAGAGGCCGGTGAAAGCAGGAGATGGGATGCCTGTGTCGGTCCATGTGGGTCCCACTTCCCCAATTCCATTGACAACATGGACAACAGACGTGGGCTTTCTTGGAGACGGGAAAGGGCGGGAGCCTTCCACAGCCTCCGAACAGAGTGGTTGCTTCATGAGCACCAAGGATGAGTGAAGGGCGGGATTCAATTGTGCAATCCGGCTGCATGGTGTGTGTAGATGCCGTTGACCTATTTAGTCGAGGGACAGGCACGCGTGACACAGGCCATGGACTGTGCGACGAGTCTTGCAAGGCATTAGTCAAGATAAGTAACCCCACAGTCCAGCTTATCTATACATCAGCATTGCAGACCGGCGTGCTATTGTTTTCAATCCGATGGTTCGGACAGGTTGGTAACGACTAATGAATCGGAAAGCGTTTCATGGGTTGTATGGATTATAAGAGTTCGTCGTTCAGCTTATTTCGTTGCCTGTAAGTCTGGCATCTGGATTCCAAAGCTGTCTATTAGTATATGACTTCCCGTGCCTGGACTTCATCGTTGAAAGGTGTCAACACTATATCTGCGATTCTATTTTGCAAATCAATGTAAGCGGTTGGAAGATGCTGTTACATGCGACACATGCAACACTACCTTCTCCATGAAGTAGACAATCAGACCGACGATTAGCAGATGCCATAACCAGGACAGCTGTTTTCCTCGTCAGCGCAAAGTGTCCACAGATCTCTCACCACCAATTTCTATAACTGTATCCACACGTGTACAGTCACAAAACGCTAAACAAACAGGTCAGATAAGATATTTTTGCCTTACAAATGACGTCAGCTACATGTGTCGCATACACATACAAAACCACGCACACAATTGCCCCAGAATTTCTTCCTGAGCATCACTTGTTCCATTCTTTACTTTTCACTCTTCTCTCCGGCCAATCCGTCGCCAAATAATTTCTCTCATGGCAATATTTCGACGGTGGCGTGCCAGGCCGCTGCAGCCTGTCCAGCATAAAAGACTTCAAAACTACCGGTCAGGCGTCGGCTCCAACAAAATTTATGTCCTGACCAATACGAACACTTTTCAAATAACTTTCAACAAAACCGTGCGGCGGTCAAAACGCGGCATCACACTCGGCCATGCTAGTCAGGCCAAGACAGGCCAGGCGAAAAACAGTCTAGATCCCCCAACGCAACTGCGTGGGCATCCATGCAAGCCCGGCATTTATGCATAACATGACAGCACTGATGCTCCTCAAATCCGGGAAAAATGGAATACGATACGGAGCGTGGGATTGCGGGAACTTGGCGGGCACAGGAACAAACCCTCCGTCTGGTTTTGCGCTCGGCTCCACCCGCTCAACAAATGCACGACATGCCTTGCCATCACCGCCCAGAAGAGGCAAAACGGCGAGATAAAAAGGAATGCGGCTCAGTCGACTCAGCAGCACATTCCGCTCCTCCCTCTCATTGTTCTCCCTCGCTTCACAAAATGAGGCGGCCAGACACAGCCTTACGTAATTACACTTGAACACCATTGTACACCATGAAACAATAAAAATCAGAAGCCAGCGGCACAGTCGGGCTGCGACATCGGCCATCAGCAGCTCCTATCCTCTCATTAAAAAGCGGCAGTCCAGATGAGCAGCGGCCACCGGTAGAGCGTTTACAATCCAGCTGCAGCACAGAATAATCATCTATCCACCTACCCGAGCATCCTGTCGTCATCGTCATCGACGGAAAAATTGCAGGGACGTTTCAACGCGGGCTCCGCCATGCACGGGAGCAACTCGCTCACCTTTCCGCTGTGGATGACTCGGTACACAATAAGTGGTACACTCGTACACTCAACACCCACTGAGGCGAGAGCGCACGGCGTTTCCAAACCCACTTCCAGGTGTTCCCGCTTACGCCGACTTAGACACCGACGCCAGAGCGCTCCTAGCCACCTTGGGGGCGACCGACGGCGTCGCCGACACGCCATTGCCGTTCTCCGACACCGACGTCCCCGCTGCAACGCCATTGCCGTTGCTGCTGACCGGCACTGCCGCCGGCTTGGCAGCGACCGGCACCGTCACCGCCGGCGTCACGGTCTTGTACGTGGTCACCTTAGGTACCCCATTCGCCGGCACGGCGGTCGTGGTAGCGCGCCATGCACCCATCGGCGGTGCCGTCACCGGCGCCTTCGGTGCCGCCGCCGCCGCCGCCGCGGGCCTTACGTTGGGAGCGCGCGCAACTGCGGGGGTATCGCCTGGAATCTTCTCCTGCACCGGCACCTTGACCTCATTCTTCTTGGCCGTTGCCGCCGTACCCTTACCGTACACGACCTCCTCCAGGAGGCCCTCCCACTTTTGAGCTGGGCGAGCCCAGGACAGGTCCTGGCTGATGCAGTTGTACACCATATCCTTGTAGCGGGGCGTCGCGAACACCTCAGCCGCGCGGCGCACCGTGGCGGCCAGCGCGTCCGCATCCGCCTCGTCAAGACGGTCCGGGTTCAACGCACCCACTGCAACGTAGAACACCACAGCACAACACAGGTTGGTAAGGAGCAGCAACAGCAGTAGTTCTGCATCAGTACGGCGTGCAGCTGACGGTTTGTATTATTAAGGAATTCAAGCTGTTGCATAAGTCTGTACTACGAAGTGTCCATGCGAGTAGCATAACTCTGCCGGAAGTGAGGATGACAGCACCAGTGGCAAGACGCTGGTACCTATCCACGTTAAGAATCCCGTAGCTCCCACCGAAGAGCCCACTCACTGTGGAAGCCCGTCACGCCCTCCTTGACAGTGTCCACCAGGCCACCGGTGGAGGCGACCACCGGGACTGTGCCGTAGTGCATGGCGTGCAGCTGGATGAGGCCGCACGGCTCGAAGCGCGACGGCACCAACATGAAGTCCGCACCGGCGGTCAACATGTGCGCGAGCGGCGCGGAGAACTTGACCACGCCCTTAGCACGGCCCTTGTACTTGGTCGCAATAGAGTTGACCATCTTCTCATACGCAGCCTTGCCAGTGCCAAGAATCGCCACCTGCACCTTCGGGGTCGCCAGCAGCTTGGGCAGCGCAGCCAGGATGATGTCGACACCCTTCTGCTCCTCCAGGCGGCCGATGAAGGCGAAGAGCGGCGCGGTGGGGTCAACCGGCAGACCCAGCTCCGCCTGCAGGGCCTCCTTAGCGGCGGCCTTGCCGGCGTACACGGAGTTCTGGTCGTACGGCAGCGTGAGGTACTTGTCGGTCTTGGGGTTCCATTCCTCAATGTCCATGCCGTTCACGATGCCCTCGATACCGCCGCGCGAGCTGCAATGATGTTTCAAAGTCCACCAAGGTTTGGTGAGGGTGAGGGCGAGGGTTTAGGGTGGGGTCGGGGGGCGAGAGAAGAGTAGCGTTCCAAGGAACATATGCATTGGAAGGGGGTATCGCAACGGTGGCAGCTGATGGGGCGGTTCTGGCTGGACAAACAGGTCAAAGGTTAAAGAAAGTCGACTGAGGAGAGGCGTATTAGGATAGCAACAGGGGCGTGCGCGTCTACGCCCTTCGGCGGTCGTTCCCGTTGGGGTACGGTTAGATGCCCCTAGGCAGCGTCATGACCGGATAGACATTTACCACACGCACACCCACACACACATACTACGCGACACGCGCGCATGTGTGTCAGGCCCTGCTCTCTAGCCCCGAAGACGAGCGCTCACCGAATGGCAGTGTCCAGCTCCACACCTCCAGCCGCGTCAGCGCTGATCTCCGTCGCGTAGTTCGGCGACACCGTCACCAACTTGTCAGCGGTGAGGATACCCGCCTTGAGCCAGTTGATCTTCTTGTAGGTCTTGCCGGTCAACGGGGGCTTCTCGTCCTCCTCCATGGGGGTGGCCTCAGTGTACACCTGTCCGCGATGAGTCCAGGAGGGTTAAAAGATGACAGAGGACGGACACAAATGGAAGCAGGGCAGGCAGGCAGCAGGGCGATCAGCGAGGAGGGCCAGCATTTCAAACTCATGCTGAGTTGAAATACTTTTATTATATTTCCGTCATAGTCAATTCAGGCAGGACGACATCCGGGCCCGGAATCAGAGGACACCACCCAGGGCGTTTGCTTGGGGACTTCTTAAAACCCCTTGGCACAACTGCGACATTGAACCGCACATGCGCCGCGCGTTTCAACGTTCCTATACTACACCACTTTGGTACTAATCCTAGGGTTTGGTGCTAATCTTGCTCAATGTCCCCCTAATGATAATGAAACACAAGCTTGGGCCCATTTCCGCAGCCCTGGCAACAGCTAATACCGACGTTGCCGTCTGTGAGCCCCCAGACTCCCGCACCGCACCGCACACCTTGGAGTAGCCATCGCTGAACGCGAACTTGTCAAAGGCGGATGTCGGCAGCTGCATGTCCTTGAAGGTGTCCTCCCACATGCGGCCCTGAACCAAGGGGCGAACGAGCAAGGGACAGAAAAGAATTATGTATGTGTGACTGCAGGACACCGTGTGCGTTTTAATATATTCTGTTATAGAAATAATCGATTCGCCATGTCACTGTTGAGCATCGGAAACATGTTACAAAAGAAACCGGGAAACTTTGCGAGGAAGTATGAGCAAGTGTGAACACATACAATTGAAAAATCCTCAGCAACCGTAAATTTCCCTGAAATCCCAATCTTATGCTTTCTAGAAAACTGGTCGCAGCGCCAAATATACAAGCCATAAATGCATCATTGTGTCCCCATCCAGATCGCCAACCTGGAAGGCAATGTTGTGGATGGCCAGCACCGACTTGGCCTTCGTGAACTCGCCCTTGGCCTGGTAGACATCCTTGGAGATGCAATGGGGGGAGAGAGGATGAGGGAGGAGGGGGAGGGCACAGATTCCGCCATTCACTTCCTTTTCCAACGCGAATAGGTAGCGGGTACAGAGGGAACACTTATCGTGAGCCTTGCGCGGTGCTACACGACCATAGCACTGCATCGCTCCATAAATCAAAATCGCTCAGCAGGAAGACCATAGCACTTGTTCATTACCACCCTCTTGTCCGAAAATACAGCAAGCAGTGGTAAGGATGCCAGATCAGGTGTGTAAACTAGACGGCAGCACCAGTAAATCCCTAACACCGAGTGGAGGGCTATAGCACCTCCCCACACACCTTCAGCATCAGCGGCACCAGGGCAGAGTGCCAGTCATTCGCGACGAACACGCACTCCTCTCCAGGGCCGAACGGCAGCACGCGCACCGCCTCAATGGCAGCCTTGCAGAACAGCGAGAATCGCTTGTGGTTGTCCAGGTAGTCGGCTCCGGAGCGAGGGCCGTAAAGCTTGGAGCCAGTCTTGCCCCAGACCTTAGCCAGGAACCAAGGGTGATCAACCCACACACGATGAACACCCTTCTTGATGGAGTGGAAGTAGCGGACCTTCTCGCCCATGATATCGACAACGACGGAAGTGTCCCAAGCATCCGCGTACTGGTCGTAGCTGCGAGGCAAGGGAAAATCAGGTGTACATGTGCGCAGAGGGATGATCACGGTGCACGAAGGCGCAAACGTACTCTTCTCATTTATCCTAAATACTGGAACCCTCTTGCTATTTCGGGTGTAGTAGGCATGCCGTGGGGATGATTTTGAAGGAGCTGCGTTACAGCGACAGCCTGAAGATGGAGAAAGGCTCAAAACAACGCTCATAGGAGTGCATCCTGCATGTTCATGCTCCAGGAATAATTACAATACTTGCATCACTGCTAATCGAGCCTTTCATCAACACGATCAGCCGATGACCATTGAAACTGAGACCCCTTATTTACTAAAAAAGGACACCATGACTTCACGCAAGTGACATACCGTGGCGCAATAGTCATGACCCTGTGGCCCCGCTTCACCAGCTCAATCGGCAAGCCTCCTGTCACATCGCCAAGGCCACCTGTCTTGCTCCAAGGCGCAACCTCGGCAGCCACGAACACGATGTCAAGGGCAGCCGTAGCGCCTGTAGCACCCGTCACAGCTGCGCAAGAGGCCTTGCGAGACGAAGGACCACCGCGCGCAAGCTCGCGGAGCAGCTGGTTGGCGGTCTTCTTAACTCCGAAGGCTGCAGCATTGATCAAAATCGGCCGGGCGCTAGGCCTGCTAGTAGACGCAACGGCCATGCGCTGCTCTGCTTGGCGCGCAGGAGCAGCGACGCGGCTACCGATGGACTGCATTTTCCTTGTTGGTTGTAGAACTTTGAGGCGACGTAGGTTTCACTCTATGTACCTCAAGGGACTACTGATTACTTGCAGTAAAGTTCCTACTTAAAGGAAATGGTCACTTATGTATGGCGCCTGGCAGCTCGGTCCGATGCAAGTTGCACCAACCGCAATGGGAAACCTCCACCGTCCGTGGCGCAGGGCCTTATGCTGCGCATATTCGTGCAGTTTGGACACATCTAATCAAAGTATTGGCCTCTAGCAGAAAGATATATTTTAATTCTTCACATTGCTATGCGTATGACCGCAAACTTGGCATTTTCCTGATGCCCAAAATATCTGCCGTATGATCAATTGGTCGAAGACCTGGTTTGATGCCCAGTCCCTGCGAACATGTCTTTGCGATTTCTGCTACTTTACATCAGTATTGCCGTCTTACATTATGTGCTGTCTTAGGCGGGCCCACAAATTACACCGATGTTACAGAAGCTCAACTCGGACCTACGTTCTGGTTAGCATGTACAGCTACTTTACTCTCACCAGCTTGTTTCTTAGAGTACATGTCAAAGAGCTTAGTAGGTCGCAAGATATGCGTCCTTGCACTCCGTGGTTGAACCGGCGTGCGTTAACACGTGTTTCTCTAGAACAAGTGTTCCGCTTCCTCTTCCCCCGCTCCCTTTTTCCCTCACAGCCTGCTCCATTACCCCTATTCCAACACAGCCGTAGAGCAATCACATGCGCCGCAGTTGGTTACGATAACAAGGACGCTGCGTGTAAACCTCGCACAAAAGCTTGTTGCTGTTCTTAAGATGGGCTCCCAAGGGACACCCATATTCCGACTGGTGTGAGTAAGTCGTAGTATCCTTGTGCCGTTGTCCTAAGGTTGCCAAGGCGCGGAATGCTATGCGCGATAGTTTCCCGCATGCGGGGAGCGATGTCTCACTTCGGCGTGGGCAGCTCCAAGGCAAATACACACTCCATGTAGCGCTGTCTCCCCTTTCTCCCGCTCCTTTTGTTTGCCGCCGACAAGTCCCCTGCCATGTAAACCACCCAACGGCCAACGCAGCCTCTTGGTACGCACGGTAATGCAGCGGCAGGAGACGATGCCCACAAAACGCACGTACGGCAGCCGATACGTCAGCTAGCACAATTGCTTCTGGACCCGCCCAGAGCCATCGGGGCTATAGTCATCACGGTGGACCCTTCACCGGCGATTCTGCGGCGTTACAGCGGCGGTCAGTATGACAGCTTTGAATGAAACGGGCTCCCGGTCGCCAGCAAAGAAACTACCCGCCTTCCCTCCAGCCCCCGACCTCGACATCAATCTCGCCTTGCATTAACGAGGCGCTCTTCGTCAGAGAGAAAAAGACACCAGGCGCCTTTACACCGCCTCCCCCAGCCCCGGTCCAAGGCTTCCTGTATACCGTAAATTACCACTTGTGGCATTTATACATGCGGCACATGCTGCAAGTCGTACTACCTTCCATTCATCGCTATCCTATGGCGATGATAATGCTGTGGCAGTTGTCGTACGTAATTTACGTTGCTCGCAGCAAATTACCGGTGACACCACCACCTCCATCCTACCATGCGTGTGTCCTGAACGTGGTATACACATATACATACAAACATACAAACGTAACCACATCACATTGCATATCTCCTCGGTAAAAATCACCGCCAGCGGACCCAGCACCCAACCCACCCCACAGACCTCCGCAACGCGTCCACCCCAAAGAGCGCCGCCTTTCGAGGTGTCGCGGAAGCCGGTGGGGCGAGGGAGAGGGCAGAAAAGTCTCTGGAGGAAACTGGCTCCAACTAAACAAAACCCGATCACGGGGGTTTTCACATTGTAACAATGGTGCCTCTCCCAAGCATCCACAGACAAAGCTGCAGACATAAAAAGAAAAGATCTTCCTCTGATATTTTTAAGAGATCTTTTCCTGGAGCATAAATACTGTACGTCGCGAAATACTCGCTGCTGAAAAAAGGGAACAAACCAATCGCAAAGGCCGCCTACGGCGCTGCAAGTGTACCCTCCATCACCGCCATACACACATACCCAAAAACGGGCCCCCCCAAAAGCCAAGCTTCCTCAGACCACATCTTATCCAATCAAGTCCGTACAGCCCTAGTACGACCGCTTTGGGGACCTTATACTGTTGCAGAGCAGCGGGGGAGAAAAGACTAAGCGCGGACGGACGAGACTATTTCAAATATTCAAAATTGTTCCCAGTCCGCCGCATGCAAACCCCCTGACAAATGCGAAACGAGGTTCCCGACACGCCAACGAAAAGCCAAACAAACGACCGCCCCGCATGCGTGAGGAAAAACATATTGCGGGGGAAAGCCAGTGTCTATGTGAGAGCAGCCACCGTCAAAGGACAAGGCGACACGAGCCCCTCGGGTCCAACCCCCGGGGGGGCCGAGGGGGGCTCAACGGAACCGTTTAAAAACGGGTCACGTCATATACGATCGCTGCCACATTACCCCCACAAACATACAGGATTACAGCCAGGTGGCCGATAAGCAAGCACAGATACCCACGCACGCGTAAGGTAAAGCTATTCATCTGACATCCTCGCCATCTCCTGTCCGCGGCTCAGATAAATATTGAAAACATACTGATTGTAATTTATTATTAGAACACACTCACATTCTCTCTCTTCCTCTCTCTCACACACACACATATACACGTGCGTCACAACGCAACAGCGTGAAAAGCTCCGCGACAGTGTTCAACGTAAAAGGTGAGCGGAGAGAAAATTGCGCGTCATCCCAACATCATCAGCATCAGGCGGGAGAGCGATAATTACGTAATAAATACGTAACCGATTTATGTAAGTACGTAACAAGTTACGTACATATACATTCATACAAACATTGTGCACATATACAACAGCAGCTGACAGCCTACAGGATGACGAGGCCCCTCTTGCCGCCGGTGCCCGATCCCCCAAGATTAACAGAGATAGACAGACAGGCAGGCAAACAGACAGACAAAAAGGTGTACGGATGGCCGTGTAGGAAAGCTTTCAAGTCGATGTCAATCAACGCATCCTCGACGTGACACGTCCTCCTCCCTCTCCGCCTCAACCCACTTCCCCCCGAATCGTCACCTTCCTTTCACTCCTCCTCCTCTTCCTCCTCTTCCTCCTCGCCCTCGTCCTCGTCGCACAAGGCCTGCGCCCGCGCCACTACCTCGTAGTACCTCTGAGCCAGCTTCCCCTTACCCGCCGTACTCGCCTCCTCAGCCGCCTGCTCCAACAGCTCCGCAGCGCGGGCCGGCTGGGGGCCCATACCCGGACCGCCCGACAGCAGTAGATTGCCGTACTGGAAGAGGATCTCGTACCTGCAGTGCGTGTGTGCAGCAGTGCAGCAAACCGAGACTCACGGGTCGGGGCAGACCAGCGACCAATTAGTGGTGTCGTCAACGTCAGGTGGCGGCCGTGGCGGCACGGTGAAGGTGATCCAGGTGGAGATGGCCTGATGGTGGTGCCGAGGGGAGGTGGACTCAGTGGTCTTGGTGGTGATGGTGGTGGTGCTACCACCGACCGTACCCCACCGCCGTTTCCTTCCTGGCCTAGCCGGCCTCTCCACCGCCTGCCGCCCTCCGCCTTTGAAGTCCTTGCCCAACCTCTCCAGCCATACATACACATACAGGCGGCTGGCAGAGGTTAAGGCCTGACTTCTGCTCCCGGAGTGTCCGGATTCAAATCCGCCTCCCGACCCCTCGGGTATGTGAGGGGTGTTGAATTGGGAGGTGGCCCCCCATCTTATGGACGAAATAGGACGTGATTACATCAGCTGACCAGGAACTAAGTTGAGGCGCCGTTGATCCGCTAGATTTGATTGAATGCTGGTGGTGAGTCGCTGAACCCAACGAATACATTCCGAAGTCGGATGGGGTAAATGGATTAGGGTGCCCCTCTCGCAGGGGAGAGCAGGGAACTGCCTCAGGAAAGGGGGCCGCTGGTGAAGCTTTACCACCCTGTAACAACCTACATACACACACACTCCCGGCCCGGCCCCCCACACGCCACACCTCCCCCCCCCACCTGGCCGCTGCCGCCCCGGGAAGCGCCCCCGCCTCCTCCTCCACCACCCTCTTCAGGTCCGCCAGGAAGGTTCTGGAGGGCCTCAGCTCCTCCAACTTGGGCACCCGGAGGAGCTCGGAGTCCGCCAAACTACCCACTCGGGCGATCAGGTCCAAGTTGGATAGGCCTGAGGGGGGGACAAGGGGGGGAAGAGGGGGAAAAGGGTATGGAAAGGAGGTTTGGAGGGGTTGGTGTGGGGGTTGAAAGGAGGACGGGAATCGAGGGGGGAGGACACACGACCCCGCTGTGTGCGAGGGGTGTGTGATGTGGGGCTAGGGGGGGGGGGAGGTGTGTGTTTTAGGGAAAGACTCTGGATGGCGAAGTATTCTAGCCAGCCCCCCAACTGCTCATCACTGGATGGACGACACACACCCCCAGACGCACCTCAGGCCAGCAGCCCCGGCTGGATCCTTTTCTGTCACACCCCGCTTTTTATGCTATTGTGGCTTGTTGTTTGTTCGTTAGGCTTTACTTTGTAGCTATATAGAGCTGCCGTACGCATACATCCTCATATCATCTTAATATAACATGGTGTACTCTCCGTAGCATTTTCTTGCTGTTCTGTTCCTCACCCGAAATGTGAATACTCGAGCCGTCGCCGTTGCGTTCGTTGTTTTGGTGGTTGTGATGACCGTCGGGGAGATCTCGCGGGCTATCACCGTCCCGGGGGGACTCACGCATCACCGACATCTCAAACTGCGGCGGGTCATCCTGCATTTCCGTACACAAGACAGCCGTACAGTGTACGGTGATGCTGAGGGTCCGGGTCCCGGGCGGCATTTTGCATGGTTTGTACGGCATGTGCCATGCAAACATGAAGACTGAGAAAAGCTAGAGAGGAGTGATTCAGCATCAGTTGCAGCACAGGGGCTGTAGCACCGGCTTCATCAATGCTGATCAGCTGTAGCCGGTGAATCAAGCTCAGCAAACACAATTATAATAATCCTAAGAAAATGGAACTTCTACAACGGCGGCGACATGCGCCGTGCCACACATGACACTCCAAACCAGCACTTTTTTGAGTACTTAAGGAGTCGCAGCTGCAGCTGCAGCAGCCCCGCCCATGGCAGCAGTATCAGTACCAGTACCAGCACCAGCTGCTAAAAGAAAGAAATCACTCTTTCAATTCGCGTTATAACCGGCCCAGCCACCACCACCACTTCCATAACCGCCCTATCACCCCAGCAGCTCAGTCCAACCAGTCGCCACAGCCGTCGCTTACATACACACACCCACGCACGCAGAAAGACACATGCATGCACACTTTTACCTACCTACCTACCTACCTACCTACCTAGCTACCTACCTACCTACCTACCTAGCTACCTACCTACCTACCTAGCTACCTACACGTATCTTCCAACCCTCCACTTACATCACTCTCGTTGCTGCTGCCGCCACCGCCGCCACTGCCAGTGCCGCCGTTTTCCTCTCCCTCCTCTTCGTGCTCATGTATGGTCCCCCCGGCCCCCTCCCCCCTTCCCCCGGGGCACATCCCGTCATCGGACTCGGACAACAGGTCGGGTAGCTCAAGAGCAGCGGAGTACCACCGGGCAGCCTGATGGGGCGTGTGAGGCACTCAAGCATTACTTTCACCGTGAGCGCACACAGCGACCAGCATGACAATGTAGGCACAAGAATGCCCTCTCGCTCCTCCCCGCCCCGAACTGCCATGTCGTCCCAAGTAAGCATATATATGCATAGCATGTGTATATATATGTGTATATATATGTGTATATATGTGTATATATATGTATATATATGTATATATATGTATATATATGTATATATATACATGCTATGCATATATATGTATATATACATATATATGTAAGTCTATGGTCCACTAGGACTAGGGAATTCTGGAAACAATTGGACAACACTTCCATGACCACCAGGAGATCAACCGTCAGGGGCCCCTGTGATTTGAGAAGCGGCTACCATATCCGAGGGCAGGGAGCAGCACATTGTGGTGAAACTACCCATCCTTGTGTCAAGAGGGGAGGTCTTCTGGCAGCGATGGTGTTGACCAGACACATCATCAATGGTCGATTACATGTGCCTAGGGTGCAGCTGACTTTGGACGTGGAGCCTATGGAGGTGGAGCTGCTGGTGAAGGACCAGGAACAGGCTAAGCCCATTGTGTGGGAGGTGAGAGGTGTCCCAGTCGGCCTCAGCTGTCAGGGCACGGCCGACTTCCTCACCCGGGCAGACCCCCGGGCAGACCCCAGTCCTCAGGACGTTACAGAATTCTCGCTCCTGGTCCCCACGACTATGGCCGACACGTGGAGGCTGGAGCTTACCAGCAATCGCGGCCTTCCGCGAGAACTCCCGTTTGAATACGGGGAGCCATCGGAGGCGTGCCACCAGAAGGGCACCCTTCAAGCGACCAGGAAGACCCCCTGCCCCCA